TAAAATAGTATTGCAAGGAACCAAATTTCCTATGTTTTGCAGAAGCAAAATATGTTCTTTTGGGGGTAACGTTACCCACCGCTTTAATGAGTTTGTATGCAGATTCACCCCTTCATCAGGAAAAAACCCACAAGCCCACCAGAAACCCAACAAGCCCCCGCCACCGCTCATAGCTCCTCAGGCAGCGAGGCATCTTCAGGATTGCTCTGGAATGACGGGTACGGCAGCAGCTCAGAAGCACAGAGGCCACCTTCTGCAACACCGAGCACTTCAGCCGCCCCAGCCCACGGCAGGGGCTGGCAGATGCCTCCCTCCCAAGCTGAGAGCCATTTAGTCGGCTGTGATGAGATCGGATCTCCTGGTGGAGGCTCAGGTCTACCTCAAAGGACAAAAAACCCCCAGGCGGTTGCTGCTTTCTTCAAGATATTTGGAAATTAACGATCCTTCATGGCAAAGGCTTGACATTAAAACATCTACCATAATCATTATGTTACTATAAGAAAACCATATAGATACTTTAATGCATATTTCTGATTGCAGATTTAAGCTCCAAACATTGCTAATAAGGGAGGAATTTCTTCTTGTAAATAGAGAAAAAAATTACTGTTGCTCCTAAGAACTTTGTGTAGAAAAAGCAACAAGTATTCTTTCTTCATTTTAAATTTATACTAAGAAAGAGACAAAAGGCAATTCTTCATACTCTTAGAAACATTATTCTTTGCAATTAAGAACTCATTTTTTTCAGATGCAATAAATTTACAAGCCAAGGACATGTCAATTGCATATTGCAGTGACAAATTTATTTGAAATGGAAAGCATTCTTAGTGAATCATTTTCACTGGGAAAAAAGCCAGTATCTGTATACGTTTGTGTCTACCTCCACAGGGGTATCAGTCACGCTACCTGTTCAAAGCAATTTTCACACCTTCTATTTGGTTTCCCAAACTCAGAAGTTAAGCAGAGGTTAGAGTGACATGAAAGCAGAGAGGCCCTACCCAAGTCACCGGTAAGCAGGGAATTCACCTCCCGTTTCCTCTTTTTCTCATACAAGTGTTAGGAGATAAGGAAGCAGATGTGCAGGCCAGCCGGAGCTTCAGGAACATGGGAACTGAACTGGAACTCCTGCAGTGCAGGAACCTGAGCAGACCAGGAAAACAGCAGAACAGCAGGAAAATGATTAAAAGTTAACTGGCGGGGGGGTCGGGGGCGGGGGTGAGGTGAAAAACCAGTAAAGGTGACCAGTAATGTGGCAGCTTGAGAAGTTTTTGTACATGCTTGTTTTTCCAACTTTGTGGTAGTAGAAGGCTTACTGTATGCTTTATTGGACGGACCGGGCCTGAAGAGTACATAAGAAGCTTTTACAGTTGCATAAGACTCACCCTTAACTCTCTGTCCACTTTGTATCATCCTTCTTGTTACTTTCTAGTAAGTCAGACTTCCGTGCCAACACTCGCAGTACTTTTTCCTTTAAAAGCCCAGTATTTAAAATACTCATACTTGAAAAAGAGTCTGATTTACACTACACGGAAACCTAGAGAATAACAATCATTATGAGCTACTTTACATTCTAAAGCTTATGTTTTGTCTTGCATAGAAGCATCCAAGCATACCAGGAAACACTGCAAATTGCA